TTTATCCAATTTTGGGGCATAGAATTGTTCGTAATATTTCTTTATTATCCTTTTAATGCCCATGGGATCTGTGGTAATGTCCCCTCTTTCATTACTGATATTAGTAATTTGTGCTGCCTGTCTTTTTTCTTGTTTATCTTGGTTAGAAGCTAATCAGTTTTATTGATCTTTTGATCTTAGTTTTGTTGATTTTTAAAAATTGATTCTATGTTTTCAACTTCATTGATTTCTGCTTTAATTTTTATTATGTCTTTTCTTCTACTTACTTTGGATTTAATTTGTTCTTCTCTTTTAATTTCCTAAGGTGGAAGCTTGGATTATTGATTTTAGGTTTTCTTCTTTTCTGATTTACATATTCAAAGTTATAAATCTACCCTTAAGCACTACTTGCACTGCAGCCCACAAAGTTTAACAAATTGTGTTTTTATTTTCATTTATTTTAAAGTATTTAAAATTTTCTCTTGATACTTCTTATTTGAACTGTATGTGATTAGAATTGTGTTAATTTCCAAGCCTTTTGAAATTTTCTAAGTATCTTTCTGATATTGATTCCTAGTTTAATTCCATTGTGGTCTGAGAGTAGACCTTGCATGGTTTCTGTCTTTTAGCTTTGTTAAGGTGTGTTTTATGGCCCAAAATGTGAGCTGTCTCAGTGAGTGTTCATGTGAGCTTGAACAGGATGAGTGTTCTGCTATTACTGGTAGTGCCGAGTTCAACTGTGTCTTTACTGATTTTCTGCCTGCTGGATGTGTCCATGCCTGACAGTGGGGCACTGACGTCTCCAATCTTTAATAGTAGATTCATCTGTTTCTCCTTGTAGTTCTATCAGTTTTTGCCTCACTTATTTTGACACTCTGTTGTTGGGTGCATACATGTTAAGACTTGTTATCTTCTTGGAGAATTGACACCTTCATCATTATGTAATGCTCTTCTTTATCCCTGAACTTTCCTTGTTTTGAAGTCTGCTTTGTCTGAAATTAATATAGCTACTCCTACTTTCTTCTGAGTAGTGTTAACATAGTGTATCTTGCTTTATACCTTTACTTTTATTTGTCTCTTTATATTTAAAGTGGGTTTTTTGTAGAAAACATACAATTGAGTTTGGTTTTTTGATCCACCTTTACAATCTCTGTCTTTCAATTTGTGCATTTAGACTGTTGCTATTCAAAGTGATTATTGATATTGTTGGATTAATATTTACCACTTTTGTTTCTGTTTTCTATTTTGTTCTTGATTTTTGTTCCTGTTTTTGTTTTCCACTTTTTTTTTGCCTTTTTCAGTTTTAATTGAGCAATTTGTATGATTGCGTTTTCTCTCCTGTCTTAGCATATCAGTTGTACTTTTAAAAAATTTTTTTATTGGTTGCTCTAGAGATTGCTATATATATCTATAACTAATTCAAGTCCACTTTCAAATAACATATACTGTTTCACAGGTAGTGTGGCTACCTTATAATAACAACATAATCCTAATTCCTTCCTCCTGTCCACTGTCATTGTTGTTCATTTAATTTACATATAAACATGTGTTAAGTGTATACATACACAAACTGTATATGTGAGATACATACATGATATGTACATCAGCATATGTAATCAGGTACATTGTTGCTATTATTATTTTGAACAAATTATTATCTTGCTAACTCAATTAAGAATAAGGAAAATAAGTTCTTATTTTACCTTCACTTTTTCCTTCTCCAGTATTCTTTCTTTATGTAGATTCAAGGTTCTGACCTGTATAAACTTTTCTTCTCTCTAAGGAACTTCTTTTAACATTTCTTGCAAAGCAAGTCTACTGGCAACAAATTCCCTCAATTTTTGTTTGTCTCAGAAATTCTTTATTCCTCCCTCACTATTGAAGGATAATTTTGCAGGGTGTAAAATTCTCAGTCATTATTCTGTCAAATATTTCTTAGGTTCCTTTTTTCCTTTCTTCTCCTGCCTATGTTCCCATTATGTGTATATAACACCTTCGGTAGTTATCCCACAGTTCTTGGATATCCTGTTCTTTTCTGGATTTTTGTTTATTTATTTTTCAGTCTTTGTTCTCTTTGCAGTTTTGGAGGTTTCTGTTAAGATATCCTTAGGCACAGAGATTCTTTCCTCGGCCGTGTTAAATCTGCCAGTAAGCCTATCAAAGGCACTCTGTTTCTGTTACAGAGCTTTTGATCTCTAGCATTTCTTTTTGGTTCTTTCTTGGACTTACCATCTCCCAGTTTACACTGCCCATCTGTTCTCGCATGCTGTCTACTTAATCCATTAGAGCCCTTAACATATTAATCATAGCTGGTTTAAATTCCCTGTGTGATAATTCCAGCACTCCTGCCATATCTGTGTCTGATTCTGATGCTTGCTCTGTCTCTGCAAACTGTCTGTTGCCTTTTAGGACATCTAGTCATTTGTTTTGGTGGTTGGACAGGAGGAAGCAGGTAGGAGGAGCTGCTATAAGTAGGCCTTCAGAGATGCAGCAGTGAGGGGTGGGCGGGGAGACGTGCTCTGCAGCCTGTGACCCTGTTGTTAGAGCTCGGTCTTCCAAGGAGCTGCACCTCCAGGCAGTGAGCTCCACCTGTGCATCTCCACACCCCCTCCTCCATGGCTGGGACAGGGTGGCAAGGGTGGCCTGCGGGGGGCATGGCATTGGTGGACTCACCACCATTTATCTAATTAACCCTCTGGCTGTGCGGTTTCTCTCTAGTTGAACAAACACTGTAATGAACACATCCAGAGCTAAATCTTCTTGCATGTCTTTGATCTTTTTAGGATAGAGTCTCTAGGAGTGTTTTTGTCAGCTCAGCGGGTGTGAAGGCTCTTGTGTTTGATAGGACTGCCAAACTGCCACCAGAAACTTACCTCCCCACCAGAAGTGGGGACCACGCTGTGAGCTGGCTTGTGTTCATCCCTGCTAATCTGATAGACACCGAAGAACAAGGAGAAAATGAATCTTCTTGTCTAAAATTGTATTTTTTTAATATTAGTCAGGAATCACATTTTGAGTGTATTTAACTGCTTTTCTTCTTTTTTGTGAGTTGCCTGATTTTTCCGCTTGGCCTGTTTCTCTTTTAAGGTCTTTCCTCTTTTTCCTTCTGTGTCTCTAAGTCCTTATATAGTGAGGATATTAGATCTTTGTCTCCAGTGTGTCCTGCAAGTATTTTTCTAGAGTGTTTGCCTTTCTGTTTTGTTCTTGCTGTTTTTAACTAGAGAATTTCATTTTTCTTTAACCAGATCTTTGTCATTTATTTCTTAAGACCGTCCTCAACTCAAGATTAAATATCCATTCATACTTTTTTTTGGACATTCAGCTTTTTTCCCCTAACATTTAAATCTTTAGTACTTACGGAATTAATTTTGAACTTAATACAGTGAATTAGAGAACTAAGTTTATTTTTTTAATGATTAGCCAATTTTGATCACATTTTATAACTGATTATTGCTGGTTGATGGGAAAACCAATGATTTTCATGTATTTATTTTAAAATTAGAAGCCTTTCTCAAATTCTTAGTTATTCTCGTTTTTAGTTGCTATTGTTTTTCTAGGCAGAAAATTGTATATTTTTTCCAATATTCATACTTCCTAGTTTCTTTCATTTATTTGACTCTAACTTCTAGACCAGTCTCAAATAATAGTGTGGATATTATAGTATTTTATCTTTTACCAAAATTAATCTGGTATTTTTCTTTTTACTTTACAGAATTAAATGTCTTTTTTGTTTTATTTCTCTCTTGCCTTCAATTATTTGTCCCTCTGCACTGTTGGCAAAGTCTCGGGGGTCACCCTTGAACTGAGTCTGAGTGGAGTTCACCACTGGCACAGGGCTCTCTTGGTTGGGAACTTGGTATGAGATAAGCAAGGTGCAGGGTTACGGGGCCGTCTCTGTCCATCCCTCCTCAAGCCAGGCTGGCCACTCTGGCCCTTGAGGTCACCAGGAAGCCCTCCCGCCCTCCTGGCCGAGACTGACTACAAGGAAGCCCTAGCGGGTGTCGTCCTGCAGCCGAGTGCCAGCCGCCCGGTAATGTGTCATGTGCATGGTATCAATAGGGAAAAGAAATATTCTACTCATCAGCTGTGTGTTTAAGCTGGGACCTTGGGGGTGAGGATAGAGAGCAAGGGTGCTCTTGCCCTGCACTGCTCCCTGCTCTCCCAGGAGGGGTGGCAGGGCCGTGGGGACGCTCCCAGGACAGAGCCGCAGCCGGGCCTCTCCCTCCTGGCTCCGGGAGCCTCGTTCCACCTTGCCCAGAGCCACACCCTGAGCCACGCCCTGAGCCACGCAGCTTCTCTGACAGTGTTGGCAGGTCCGTCGGCCTGAAACGTCCCTCTGACCTTGAGAGAGGCCCATGTTCCCACATGACTTCTGCACACTAAGGTGGCGAAGGCCCCTGGGGAAGCAGGTGGTGCCCTCGGGTCTGGTCGGCCCTGAGTCCTGGCAGAGCCCTGGGCGGGTGTCCACTGCACCCTGTGTGCCCCACTTGGTCCCCCCTTCGCTGCTGCCCGCCAGCGCCTCCCTCCTTGTCCTCCCTCCATGCTCATGGTCTGTCCCTGGCCCTTGGCCCCGTGGCACCTGGCCGTGTGCCCCTCCCAGCCGCCTGGCGTCCTGACTCTGTCCTTGGTGCCGTCTGGCACGATGGGGACTGGAGAGCGTTGTTCGGAGCTCCGCGTTGCCATGACTCCAAATCAGTGGAGTTGGACTGAGTCATATTTTGTGCTTTGATGGAGCCAGAAACTTAGAAGCCTTGGTTGAATTTATATTTACTGAAAACAGCTTTATTCATAAATAAATATTAGGAACATGAATTTAAAATACTAACTGTATTGTAAACTGCCACACACTTCCACTGGAGGGTGTCTGCTGCGGGAGACGCGGGGCGAGGACGCGGGTGGACGGTTTTCACGTCCGATCTCGGGATCAGTCATTGCTTAGAATCTTTCCTTCAAGGCTACTAACAAACCTCTTGGTTCTGTTTTTGTACCTGTGTGTGTGTGTCTACTCGGCCCCGTTCCAGGATGAAGTCCTGACTGTGATCAGAAGAGTGGATGACAACTGGGCGGAGGGGATGCTGGGGGACAAGATTGGGATCTTCCCCCTGCTGTACGTGGAGGTGAGTCTGTGCTCCCAGACCCCCCTTCTTGCCCTCTGTTGTTTGTTTCGCCAGACTGGGGGTGCCCTGACCTTGGCGCCTGCTTCTAAGGAGAACAGTAATCTGAGATCGGGTGGCGGCGGCCTTTGGGTTTTATTCAAACCCTGTGGCTGTGAGGTTTGCCTCAGCCTCCTGGGAGTGGTCTGTGTGGGCCGGACTGTCCGTCATCTTAGCGCCTGGGCCACGAGGCAGGGCTCCTTGCAGACCTGGGCCTGGCCCCGTTTTTCCAAGACTCTCCCAGGTTCTGCTGCTCTTGCCCCCAGACCCCAGGGAAGAAGAGCTCATACTGGGAGGCTGCCTTTCCCTGTGACCCTGCAGACAGCTAAAGGGCGCGTAGAGGCCTCCAGGACTCCGGGTTTGGGGCAGCTCGTCCAGCTGCAGGTCCCTGATGGGGAGACAGTTTGGGCCAATTTAAGGGCTGATGATTTCCCGCCTCTTCTCTGTAACCAAGAAGCACCAGGTTTCCAGCGAGTCAGTTATGGGCAGTGACCAAGTGGGCAGCACTCAGACCTTTGACCTTTAAACCCTTGGTCGTAGTGGGCTGTGTGTGCGTCTGCTGTTGGTCAGCGCATGTCCGCGTGTGCACGTCCACAGACTGACCACACGCCCAACCCATGCACTTCTGTGTCCTCTGGGGATGCTCATTCAGCCTCTCAGCTGCCCCACTGTGAACACCAGGGGCCCCCCGCTTGATAGAAGGGCCCCCGCTGATGAGGGGCGGAGCCAGACATAGTCCCAGGGGACTGCCCCAGACTCAGCCCCCAGCTCAGGGCAGGGCTGCCCCGACGCAGGGACTGGGCAGGCTCTGCCCCTGCTCAGCCCCGTGGGCCGGTGGGTTCCATTACCTGCTGGTTGTGGCATCCAAGGCTCTTTGCAGTTTAGCCTCCTCTGTTTTTCCAGTTTCTGGCCCTTTCCTCCCCTTTCCCTAAATGTTCTGCACCAGTGGTTCTCACACTTCCTCAGGATAAACAGCTCAGGAGTTCTGAGACCTTCCTAGAACACTGAGTCCACACACTGCACACACACTCCTCTCTGGTTCCCCTGTGACGGATGCACACGTGCACACATATGCACACACACGCTGCGCTCTGGCCCCTGTGAGGAGCACACAGTGCACACACGTGCACGCACACACACTGCTCTCTGGCCCCTGTGAGGACCACGGTCCCCAGCACCTCCAGCCTCACATGTGCATTTGCTTCAACTCTGGGGGGTGATCTCCATCTTGCTGCTTTAGACACCAGAACTCAATGCACGAAACCAGATGTGGAGAGTCTGAGCTCCCTACGTCTTTGGCCAGTGGAACGTCTTCCCAGGCAGACTCTTACAGGGCCACCTGAAGACAGACAGGGACGTCCCTAGAAACTGGCCACGATGCCCTGAACTGGAGTCAACTCAGATGCCCGTCACGGTGGGACAGGTGCCGGAGCCGGGGCATCTACGTGAGGGTGCTGCCCAGCAGAGAGGGTGAAAATACTACTTTAAAAGCATGGATGCATCTCACAGACAAATGTTTGAAAGAAGCCAGGCAGAAGAGAGTACGTACGCTCTATGACTTTTCCTTCTAGAAGTTCAGGAGCAGCAGAACTCCCCCTGCTCCGGGTGGTGGAGTAGGGGCCCTGGGGAGACTGGGTGGAGGAGGCAGGGGAGGCTCCTGTCTTGACCTTGGGCATAGCTGTGTGGCTGTCAAGTGGCACAGGTAACAATCATGCACTTTTCCTTAAGATGCAGTTTAAGAAGCTAAGACACAATCTTGTAGAGAGCCCGAGGCAGGTAGCAGGGCCCCCCTGCAGATGGCCAAGCCTGCCCCACCAGCTTCCCTGTCTGGAGGGGCACAGGCACTGTTGGGGAGGCTGAGAGCTTGGGCTCTGGCTGGAAAGCCAGTCAGCAGGGCCTCTTGACACTCCCGGGCTCAGACACACTCAGAGGGCACTGGGGGTCTCTGTTCAGTGCTTCTCCAGGCTCGATTGCCTGAACCCTGGAGACAGTCTTTCAGATACTCTCCCTGGAGGGTGCAGGGGTGTCCTTGCAGGCCCCTCTGCTCTGAGCACTGCCTCCTCAACTGCACGGTTCCTCAGAGACCAGGCAGCTAGGCTGTCCCCCTAGGAGCAGGGGCTGAGCAGGACAAGCAGCCTCACTCCCCTGTCCTGCACCTTTGGGGCAGGGTTGCAGCTCACGGCCCCCGGCCCCCGGTCCCCACCATCGCCCTAGGGTCCCAGCCACAGCCCGAGGTGCTCTGAAATAGGTTCCTGGACCTCAGCAAACACTGAGGAAGGAGGCCCAACCGGTATTTTCCTGAGACTGATTTACTGTTTATGTATCAGTTGTCTTTTGACTCACCTGTACGTAACCTTGGGGGCATCCCCATGGGTTGCAAAGTTCAGACTGTCTTCCCTCTGGGAGGCAAGTAGGCATTTGAGACCAGAGCGGGGTCTTGGGTCTTTGCAGCTTTGGGACCTGAGCTGAGCCTGTGTCGGCAGACAGGACAGTTCGGTGTGGTGTTTATCCCCACAGGCGTTGCCCTGCCTAAACTGGGCTCCTCGCAGGACGCAATCACAAGGAGCCCTCCTCCGACCCTGAGGCTGTGGTCTTAAGAGCGGTCAGGGCAGGCAGGCGGGCACGCGGCAGGCGGCCGCTGGGTCCCATGGTGCAGAGGTCGTGGTGCTGGACCGGGGAGGACCCTTCAGGAGTGAGCGTTCACTCTGCCCTGGGGACGCAGCATCCTCTCCCATCCCAGGCGGGCTCTTCCCCCGTCCGCACCAGGGGGCTGAGTGGGACTCCAGGGCTGCTGCTTTGGGGAAGAATGAGATTATTTGAGCCCAATGGCATTGTCTATACAAAACCCTCCGCGTGGAGGCAGGTGGCGGGTGGTTTAGACTGTGTTTTGGTGCCGCCGAGCCGAGGCTCTCTGCCTGGTGCGTCCCGCTTCTGCTCTGCCGTGAGCCTGGCAGGTGGGCTCAGAACATGGGCAGGAGGCCGGCACTCGGGGGTCAGAGGGCCCTGGGAGGCGTGGGGGGGGAGGGGGACCGCACCAGTTCTTCTTCAAGCAGCTCTGGTGAGGGAGCAGATGAACAAAGCCTTAAACTAGAGCAGAACAGCTGAGCCTGGTTGGAGGCAGCATTTCAAAGGAAATAATTCTGGATTTAGATCACAGATTCTGGGGCCTGGAGTGAATTTTTCAAAACCAGCCTGTGGAGGGAGGACAGGCGTTTGTAGTGGAAATGCTGACAGCCCTGCGCCTGGGCCGTCTGGGGGTGCGGCCGTCCAGCACCCGTGCCCCGCTGGGCCTGTGGGCACCGCGCATCCCTCCCCCGGCTGAGCAGGTCTCGCGGCGCTTTCTTTGGTTTGGTTGTAACTCACTGAGACGTGACCAGCTGCAAACCCCGCTCAGTCGGCGAGTGAGAAACCCCAGGGCTGAGGGGACTTTACTGCCTGGCCTGATGTCAGACCCTGTGTGTGGACGTGGCCCTTCCTGGCCCAGCCCCGGGGCTCAGCTGAGGATTTGGCACCTGCACCAGGCGACCTGCGAATCCACGGCCGGTGCTGCGTGGCTTCACCTGCCTGCAGGGACCTGGCGCCCTCAGGGGTTCCCTTGACTCACATGTTTCCTCTCTGGTTCCCACTGGAACCCAGGGCATCCTTTCAGGCCCACCCTGTCCCCCACCCCCCATCCCCCATCCGTCACCCGTGAAGGCTTCAAACCCTTCTCCAAACTGGCCCCTGGATCGGGGCCTGAACTCTGTGCCCTGGGCTCTGCTAGTGCTTCCCTTGGACCCATGGTCCCCACTTGATCTGCACATGTCCAGTTCCAGGAGGGCCCCGTGTTCTGCCCCTCCCTTTCCTCACTGGCAAGGCTCTGCCAGCAGCCTGAGGACTGTCCACCTGGAATCCATCCAGCCTGGCAGGGCTATGTGCCGACGAAGCTGTGTCCTGCTGGTGCGGGAGGTGGGGAGCCCATAGGGTGCCGCTCCTACTCTGGTGCCCCCTCTGGGCATTTCCCAGGCATCACAGCTCAGCCACAATGGGGAGAAGGGGGACTCGCCTTTGGGTGGCCCCGCTCTCCCCTCCCCTGGTCCCTGCAGGTCTGCACCTTGCACCCCAAAAATGGGTGGCCCAGGGAAAGATTAGGGTGACACTGGGCTGACATGGCAGTGGTGCCTGGAAAACACAGCTCTGCAATAAAATCCCCTGACACCACCCCCAGCCTTTGTCGTGTTTTCAGGGCAGCATCCGTACTGTACGTGCTGTTGGAAGGATTGGCGGTTTGAACCCACTGTGTGCCAGGTGGCCGATACTCACTGCTACCTCCTCTGTCCTCAGCTCAATGATGCTGCCAAGCAGCTGATGGAGATGGACAAGCCGGGCCTGGCCGTGGCGTCCGGCTGCCTCACCTCCTTGCCCTCTGACCCCAGCACAGCCATCAGAGCCACCCCGGGTCCCACTTCAGGCAGCACAGGGGCGGTGAGCGCCTTCCAGAGGCGTGTGGACAGCAAGAAGAATGCCAAGAAGCGGCACTCCTTCACGGCACTGAGCATGACGCACAAGTCTGCGCAGGCTGCCAGCCACAGGCGCTCCATGGAGATCAGTGCGCCTGTGTTGATCAGCTCCAGTGACCCCCGGGCCGCGGCCAGGATCGGAGACCTGTCGCACCTGTCCTGCAGTGCTCCTGCCCAGGTAATGTCGTGGTGCCTCCTCAGCTCCACCTGGCTCTCCATCCCCGAGTTGGTCCCCTGGGCTGGCGTGAGGGAGGCCAGGCAGTGGTGCATTTGGGGGTCTTGGCCTCAGGGTCGCCCAAGCCCTGGTGGGAGGTGTGTTTCAGTCTCAACCAGCATGATGTCAGGTGCTTCTCAGGGCCTGCGGCTGAGCCCCCTCTGCCTTCAGCCCCTCTGACGTGTTGGAAAAAGTCTTGGTTTAGTGCTCTTGTGTCTTCAGCATCTTGGTGACACTTGCTGACGTCCTCCCTGTCAACAGAGAGAAAGGGCTGGAGCTCAGACCCAGAAGTGGCCGCATGTTTGCAGAGTCCTTCTGTGTGGATGTGGCACTGGCTCTGTCCACCAGTGCAGCAAAGGGCGGACCTTGTTCTCTCAGCCAGCCAGACCAGGCATACCTGGAACCAGGCTGTCAGTGAGTCCAGATTCGTCCTGCTTACCGCACAGCAGGCCAGTAAATCGAGAGATGAGGCAAGGAATAGCAACTTTACTAGGAAAGCCAGCAGACCGAGAAGATGGTGGACTTCTTGTCTGAAGGAGGACCATCTTGCCTGGGTTTGGATGCTAGTTTCTTTTATAGAACAAGAGGGAGAGGTGAGGTGTGAGGAGGTAAAGTAAAACAGGCGTAGGCTGTTGCGAACATTTCCTGGTTCCAGCCAGACTTCCAGGGGGAGGTGTTAATTTCTCCTTGCCTGCAGTCATTCACAGGTGGGCCCCATCAGGATATTTCCTGTGAGCTAAACAAAAGTATTTTAGCTTAATGCTCAGGCCTGGGAGGCAGGGTCCCGGGAGATGGGCCATGATGTGTACATTTTAAACTGTAGCCCTCCTCCCTTTAGTGATTAACTTGTAGGAAAAAAAAATAGAATACAAAGGTTAAAGTAAAAGAAACTGACCCAGTCTGGGGCCAGACTTGTTCTTGCCTGTTACAAGGCCAGACTCGCCCACGGTGCCCAATCTCTAAGTCCTGTACTCGCGGGAAATGGACGCTGGCAGAGCTCTCTGGAACGTCCTCCTGCCCCAGGCGTTGGCAGGGGCTCCCCTTTCCCTCAGCTCACCTGCGCTCCGCCCTTGCTGCCACGGCTGCTGAGTTAATCCTCAGAGGGACCGTCGGGGCCCTGCCGTCAGTTCTACTGTCCACACGCCGGCCTGGTCAGGACGGGTCAGACCTTCTGGTCCACGGGATTTACCTGATGACATAGCTTGTGCTGGAGATGACTGAGGTCCTGGGACCTGTTTTCCCACAGGTACACGTGACCAGTGTGGTCAGAGGGTGAGGTCAAGCACAGCAGTTTGCACCTGTCTCTGACCCGGTTTAACTACACTGACAGGAGGTGGAAGAGTGGTGCTGAGAGCTGTGAGTTAAGGGCTGCGAACCAGGAGGCCAAACCCCCGCTCTGCCCCCGCCTGGCCCCGCCCCTGCCTTGGCCCCACCCCACTCTGGCTCTGTCTTGGCCCTGCCCCTGTCCTGGCGCCACCCCGACTCTGGCTCTGCCCTGGCTCCGCCCCTGCCC